ACAGAGTCTGAGATCTGGGATGCGCTGAAACAGGTTGGCCTGGACAAGGCTCCGGGATTAGATGGTCTTCCCTATGAAATGTACTTGAGGCAGTCGCCCGTCTTTGTCCCCTTGCTGGCACTGATTTTCAAACAACTGGATGAGGCAGGGTCTATTCCTCAACGCTTCACCAGGGGTGTGATCAAGTTGCTTCGCAAGAAGAAAGACGGTGGGGATGGGGTAGATAATTATCTGCCTTTGACGATGTTAAATACAGAGTTGAAGATTTTAGCCAAGGTCTTAGCTGACCGTTTGCAGGTTGTCCTCTCTAGTCTGATTGGTCCCGAGCAGACTTGTGCTGTGAAGGGCAGGACTATTCAGGACAACCTTCATTTGGTACGCTTGATCATCGAGAAAGTCGACAGTGATGCCGCGCTGATCAATTTAGATCAGTCCAAGGCTTTCGATAGGGTTGACCATCGGTTTCTGGAGGCTGTCCTTTCGGCCGCCGGTTTCGGGCCGCACTTTCGCACTTGGATCCGACTGCTGTATGCGTCCCCCGGTGCGCTGGTAGAAGTGAATGGGGTAAGATCGAAACCTTTCATTTTGTCTCGCTCCATTCGTCAAGGTTGTCCGCTGTCTCCATTGCTTTACGTTCTTGCGTTGGAACCTTTCCTGCGTAAGTTGAAGACGAATCCGGTCCTTCGCGGAATTTCCTTACCTGGTGCTACCACCTCGGCCAGGTACTCCGCCTATGCTGATGACGTTTCGGTTCTGGTGTCGAGTAGGGCCGAAATTAACGAAGTCAGCAAAGAAATCAAGGGTTATGAGATGGTGACAGGGGCCAAGATCAACCGCGATAAGTCTGTTGGCTTGCGGTTGGGTTCGTGGAAGGGAGTTTCTCTTCCCGGACCTTTCCTCTGGACGGACGGGCCGGTCAAGATACTCGGCGTCTGGTTCGGTCCCGACCTCCTGTTGGAAATGAATTGGTCGGAGGTGCAAGAGAAGGCCGAGCTCGCAGTACGTCTGTGGACTCGGAGGAATCTTTCCTTGAAGGGGAGGGCGGAAGTATGTGCCTCGCACATCTACCCGATTCTCCTTTACCGACTCTCCGTGCTTCCACTCCCGTCTGACACTTTATTGGCCTTTGTAAGGCTCTTGTTCTCCTTCTTGTGGGGAGGCAGGGCCGCCATGGTTAGTCGCGAGATCTGTTACCTCCATCCTTCTGATGGCGGTCTGGGGGTGCCTTGCGTTGAGACTCGTCGACATACGCTTCGCATTACTTATCTAGACCGGATGTGTATGCAACTGGATGAGAACGGCGAATTCTGGAAGGAAGACGCCCATAAACATTTTCCATCCTTGAGAAATGTGCGCTCGTGTGAGGAGGAGGCCGGTCGTACTCTTCGAGGCGAGGGCTCTTTCTATCGTGAATGTCGGATTGCCCTCAAGCGACTCTTACGGGCGAAGGATGGCCTCTCCGACGTCCAGCCGTTGTCTCGTAAGGCATTATATCAGGTGTTAGTTAGGGGGAACGTTCAAGATGATCTGATAGGCGATCTCGGTCTGACGAAGCGGGAGGCTCGCTGCATATGGCCTTGGGCGCCCGGGTTGAAATGTCTCACTAACCCTGAGGCATCACTCACCTGGCTGGTGATTCGAGGGGCCCTCTGGGTCGCCAAAGACTTCGCGCAGCGGGTTTGGCTAAGTCGCCAAACTGCGTTTGCTGTAGTGGGGAAATGAAGATCCTAGGTCACGCTTTTTTTCATTGTAGTGTCGTAGTTCCGTTGTGCAAATTTGTTGTAGACATCATGGTTCGCATGCTGCGCGAAAAGTTCTTTGTCCTCGAGGCCAGTTCCGTCTGTAGCAATATAGTACCGCCGTTGACTAAGGCTGAGCACTATGTGTTCCTTTTGCTTACTGGGGGTTATGCGAGTCGGGATATGGACGACGCGACAGAAGGAATTTCCATGGGGACGAGAAGTTTACCTCTTCCCAACTGATCTTGTTTTTAAGCATCAGCTTAAAGTCAAGATCAGGACGGAAAGGAGACGACTCCATCCATTGGAATTTGGCGAATGGTGGGTGAGTCTTGCGCGTCTCTGTAGAGTGAAAGGTGCTGACTTGGAGTGGCATTTTGATGCCGGTTAGGCATTAAGAATTTTGGGATCGCTGGGGTGAACATTGGCAACCCCTCCCGTGTATAGGTTAGTTTAGGTCGGTTTTGTTTTTAGTTATCTTTTCTTTTTTTTTATGTTAGCTAGGGTATGTATGCTCATTGGCCCCCTTTTATTTCTGGCCTCCTTTTTTTTCTTTTGTTTAATTCCCCATCCCTCCCATCGTTAGGTGGTTAGTGATATCAGTTCTCTGGTGGGTGCGGGGCGCCTTTCGTTTCGAGTCTGTCTTTCGTATTTGTTGTTGTGTTTGAATGAGTGTGTGTTTGTAACGAGTGCATGGCTTGTACGAATGTTTTACTTTTTTAAAGTCCTGCATTGTTTTCGTCCAGTTAACTGATGTTACTGCCACAGTTAGGGCTGTCGGGGTTTTTTATTACTAATAAACTTTTTTGTTTAGTTTCTTGTATATAGATTTGTATTCATTGTAAATTTTCATTGGTTTTTTTTAGATGTTTTAAAATGTTATTTTTCCCCCCCCACAGACAATGAACTGTATATATGGGGACTAGTTTAGAACTTCATAGAGTCTCTGAGGCATTTTGGTGGATGGTAAGAATGGAAGAATGGTATGTAATGGATGTTTGTTGTTTTGGTGAAAAACATTGTTTGTATGTTTGGGTCAGTGATTGCGGCTAGCTAAGTTTAAAGTTAAGACAGAAGATGACCATCCTTTTTCCCCCTTTCCCCCCATTTTTAAATTGTTTTACTTGGCCTTTGTGCCACATTTGTACATTCTAAAATAAATAATTTCTTCTATTACTCAAAATCTGGAAACAGAAGAAGGCATCCATGTTGGCAGGTATTCTAATGTCCTTCCCTAATATTCACAAGGTTAACGAGCTGTTCCAATTAGTTCTTTTCCGTACCTTATCAAATGCTTTTGTATAATCTATAAAACATAGGTACACATCCTTCTGCATTTATATCACTCTTTCTGATAACATATTGAGTATAAATAATGCATTACTTAGTCTAGTGTCCTTAACGAAACAGTACTGTTCTTATGCTAGTTCGGGTCTAATTCTGCTGCGTGCACTATTCATTAGAATCCGGATGATAAGTTTTGTTATATGGCTGATTAGTCTGATTGTCCAATGGAGTTGACATTTGTTTGCGTTTGGCTTCTTAGGCAGTGCTATGAAAATAGATCTACTTAGGTCTTCCAGCATATCACCACTGTTGTATATTTCCGTAATGTCAAAATCGTCTAAGGCTGTTAGCATCTCTATTGCAATTCCGTCTGGCCCCGCCGCTTTGTTTCTCTGTGTGTGCGCATTTGAGCAGCAGTCTTTCACTAATAAAGACTTGATTAATGACAACAGAATTTTCTTTGCCGTTAGCTTTTTCTATTTTTGTATGGAATTTGGTCCAACGATCGTAAATAATGTCCAAAAAGTTGTGATCAAGCATTTTCAATCATGCCTGTAGTCCTTTTGAAGTTTGTGGACGGGAGCTTCTGTGTAAGTGTGCACCCTTTCCAGTTTTATTAGATATTGCAGTGTGTGCACTGGTAAATATATTATACCAATCTAGTTTTTTTTTCTATCTGGTAGAAATTCCGTTACTTTTTTTCACGTCGTCGAAACGTCGCAGTTCTCATCGATATTTCCATGGCAAATGTTCATATATGCTACATTCCTTTGTGCCACCAGTTTGAACCTTTATAGTTTAGATATGCTTTGTCACGTATACAGGGTCGAATCCTCCTCATTCCCTTCGTATTCAAGTGGAAAGAAGGAATTTCCAGCTTATTTCTAAGATCTGTTAGTTTGTAGAACAGACTCCCGAGAGGATACTTTCTTAATCAATACAATCTGAACTTCTTCAAATCTAGGGTCAACCGTTATCTATCCTACTAATCCACATGATCTGCACTTACTTTCATACTTATGTCTATATAACAACCTCGCCCATTAAACCTCTACTTTGAGTGGCCCTTGGGCCTTGTATCGTGTGAACACTTAGTTAAAAAATATTTTCTGTAAGAATTGTCCTTTCTCCTCACTAATGTCTTCTCATTCTCTTCCACTCCGAGTAACACCATGTGCCTTAGTGGCATCAACGCCTTGCTTGGGGTGAAATGAATTTTGAGAGAGAGAGAGAGAGGGAGAGAGAGGGGCTATTTTTAAACTATTGTCTGAACATTCTTGATATTGATACATTATTCTTTGATTTAAGCACGTAATTCAGCAGATGTGTGGGTGTGGATGAATAAAAAGAACCCTTTTGATAATCAGCCGGAAGTCATTTACTCTTTCATTTGATATTAAAGTATAAAGCTCATTCATTGTGTCTACTAAGTAACCAAATAAATCAAACTTCACCTCAAACTGGTTGATTAACAACACTATTTAGACATGCTTCAATAACAGATCTCGCAGGAAAAGGGAACTGAAGACCCTTGTTTATTTACAGGAACTTGTTAAACAGATACGTTGTATATATATATATATATATATATATATATATATATATATATATATATATATATATATATACGTGTTTGTGTTTGTGTTTGTGTATTAGACCTTTAATATAAACCTTTGAACTATACTTCAGCTTTTGTAGAGAGTAGTAATTTTTGACTATTGATTAATATATGTTCCTTCCAATAAACGCGTCCGTGAGTTTTTAAGCCTCGTGCTTTAATAGACTGTGGCGAAGTAATCAACATTTTCCACGTCATTTGCTTTGCACACAAGCGCAAAACACAAAGGAATTCCTCATCTATCTCTTGCTGTTCTTTTTATTTAATTCTTTCAAAATTTTTACAGATTTCCGAACCCTTACTGGTTTGACTTATATAGGCACCATCACTTTATTTTACGAATATATTTGTTTTTTTTAAGATATGTTTGTAAAAGGGCGAGAGCGATCGTGTGGAAGATAAGAGAGAGGGAGGGAGAGAGAGAGAGAGAGAGAGAGAGAAAAGAAGAAAGAAGAGAGACAGATAGAGAAAAAGAGAGAGAAAGGATCGTTAAGGCCGGTGATCCTCGAAGATTATTTGAGGTAGGGTCACGCATTTCTGTTGTTCGTGTCGTATAAGTGGTTAAAGTTTTGAAGAGAAAGTGTTTTAATTAGACAAATGCAAAAACATGATAACGTGGGAATGGTAACTTTGTCTAAAGAAGAATGATAGATAATTATGTATTAACATGTTAATATTGTAAGTCGAAGAATGATGCCGGAAGTACATGTTTGTTTCTTGTTAACAATTGCAATAAATGTATCATTTACGCGTGAATATTGGGCGTTTGGAATTTTGTCCCATCTTCAAGAATTTAGCTGTGATGAATTTTTATAACCAGTGTAACAGAACAATTTTAGTCAATTTCTTAAAAATCGCTTTTGATATTTAGGAAATCCTGAAAATATTTAAGAGAGTTTATTTCTGAATAAATGTTATTGTTTCTGGATTTTCATATTTGCAATATCATATAAACTGAAATATATCTCCGTATTTATTCACTCATTTCACGCCTCGAATACCTGCGAATATTTTTGTATTTCTTTTCGCATGAATTTTTGCGAGTGGCAACTCATTTATCGCTATATATATATATATATATATATATATATATATATATTCTCATTACTGGCATGTCAAGATAATTGGAAGTGAGCGTTTGAACCAATTAATTACTCTGTGATCTGCTTAGGTAGCATTGTGCGATGTTTTGTTAGGACTCAAACATTTGTGTGCCATTTTTTCCAAGAAAGGCAACACTTGAAAGCTAACAAAACATTTTATTCTTACACATTTGGAAACCGTTTCGCAAATTTTTTTCCAGGCCAAATAAAATGACCAGAACTGGGTTAAAAACTCTGGTGTTCCTAGAATCGTTAGAAATTTCGATGTCGGCGAATCGCTTAATTTGTCATAGACCGATCTGATTTGACAATAAGCGTTGAAAATCGTGGCTTTTTACTAGAAAAATTCTTCCCAGCCACCAAGAGTACACCATAAATAGTTAAATGTTTAATACTGTTTATTATAAACAGAGCATTTACTTAAATATTTGTATCTATAAAAAGAATGTATAAACATAAAAAATGTCTTGAAATAATTGTCGGACTTTGTCCATTTCATATATATATATATATATATATATATATATATATATATAAAGAAAGAACAGTAAGATATATAATCCGGTGTTCTTATGGGTATTTTTATTTTTACAAAATAGTGCTCGATGTAAATTTACAGAGCATTAATATTATAAATTAATTGATTTAAAATATGTTTTTTTCCGCTACACAGTTCTAACCATGTTTCAAAAATGGAAGCTAAAAGCCACGAATTTAATTTTGCAATTAAATTAAAGACATTAGTTCCATTTCATCCTCAAGCGAATTTTGGAATAACTTTTAAAATTACTGGGTTTAAAAGACACAGCTAAAATCACGTTTAGTAAATGTATTTTTTATTATAGTAAATGTATTTACATTTTACTTTTTATATTTTTTATTTTAGTAAATGTATTTGCATTGATAAGTCCAGGGAAAAAAAAACTTCTTTCCCATGGACGAAATGATCATGTGTATGAGGTAATTTGTTTGGATCTCATTAATTGTAATTCACATACACTCACATGTGTATATTTATATATATATATATATATATATATATATATATATATATATATATATAGTGGAGGAGAAACAAAGACAGTGAGAAACATTGATTGACTCATTTTTTGCGGCTTTTCAACCCTTTGCAGGTTAGTGTTTGAGATAATAATCGTTTAGTGATAGAAATCTTACTAATTAACCCATAGATGGGAGAGAAGAGATGGATTCATATATTTCCCAATTGTATTTGCGCGTAAGTGAATATAACGAACCCAACTAGAATTCGAACTCGTCTCTCCGATTAACATTTCTTACCATTTATCCATTACCCCACCCGCACGTCCAAGCTTACAGCACCTTATATTCCTAAGCACTCACCCATCTAGGTATTGACCAGGCTCGACGTTGCTTAAATTCGGTGATCGTATAGGAACCGGTGTCTCAAAGTGATGTAGCCGCAAGCCAGAGTGATACATTATGCTGACAAGCTACGGACATAATGATCAGATAGATAGATAGATAGATAGATAGATAGATAGATAGATAGATTATGTGTTATCTGTAGAGTAAATGTTTCTTGTTTAATACTTGCAGCCCTATAACTCTAAGTTAGCATGCTCTTCTGAAAAGCCATCTTGATTCTTGTTTCTGCCTGTTCCAACCAAACAAGATGCAGTCAATCAGTTGTCAGCGGCAGAGCGATAGTAATCAAGAGAAACGAAAGAAATCTACCCAAGATGAATGAGCCTCGTTCCAAACTCGTGATGCTGGTTGGGAGGGGACCTGAAGAATTACTTTTTCGTCATTTTCCTGATTTTATCAGTCTGCTCGACGGCGTGGAGTTCGGTGCTATTTTAATTGGCATGATTGAGCTGTTGCCTCTAATCTCGGCAAATCTCATTCTCACTTGAACAACTGTGTGCGGTTTGATTTCAGTGTTGCTTGCCAGCCAATAGACTGTTATTCTTTCATTTCAGACACTGTAGTGGATGTGATAAGCTTGGGCCACACAAACCGCCCCGAAGACTGAAACATTTTGCGTTAAATTAAAAAAAAAGAAAAAAAAAAAGACTGATATGCAATCATACAATCCGCAAGTGGAATATATGAACACAAACAGATTTAATGTTTTGTCTCCTGTGATGTGCAATTATTACGCGATAGAATATTCAGATTAGTATCTTGATATTAGTTGTTTTGATCAGAGCATTTTTGCCGTACAGTCCTTAGAAAATCATTTAAAAACAAAACTTATGAATAGAATCCTGTATTTCGTAATGACTTTCACTGGGGGTGCTAAAGTTTGCCAATCGAATTAGGGCAGTTTCCAAATCTGAAGGACAAAGATTTACAATAAACCTGAAAGCGATATTTTCATTAATTCCATTAATTGGTTCTTTGCCTACAAACAAAGACAAATACCGATTCTATAGCCCGCGTCGTAATAAATTTGGATGTGTGTGTGTGTGTGTGTGTGTGTGTGTGTGTGTGTTTATAAAAGTGGACGTTGAAGTCAACACCCAGTGGCAATAGTCTGTTACATGCGTAAACGCAATCATCAGGTATTTAAGCATGAAACAGTCACCGCTGGCTGTAGATAGATAGATTGACTTTCATATTTAATTACGCTCTATACGTGATATTGAGCACTATAAGCTATAAATATAGCATATCTTAAAACTATATTTTTATCATATATATATATATGTGAAAAGTGTGTGTATATAAATATATATATATGTGTATATATATACAGTTTATGAAAAACTAGCTAATCCGTATGGGTAAACCTAAGGAGGATAAAATCCAGAGAGCTCAATCTAAATTCAGGAAGTGAGTGGGGAGAGAGAAGACATGAGTGAGTTAGCAGATATTGACCCATCTCTCTATGGGATTTTTCTTCTCTACCCCTTCGATATCAATATATAACTTCCGTTAAGTTAACCGTTTAAATGCGTCAATATCTGCTAACTCACTCATGTCTTCTCTTTCCCCTCACTTCCTCACTTCATTAATTTATATATGTTTAATACGACCCGTCAAAAATGTGTAAATTTTCTTTTCATTTTTTGTTTGGAAGTAAAGTCTGATGATCCGCAGTCCTTTTAAAAGGGCTGTGTTGAAATAATTTATTACATGGAACCTTAAAGTGGGCTGTTTTTATTTAAATTAGAAGAAGGAAATTACTGGAAAGTAATTGAAACTCACCTGAAGCGAGCTGAATCTATAATTATATATATAATTATTTATATATTATATGCGCGGTACTTATTAGAAAGCGCTCAATATCAGAGATAAAGCTAACATATTTGGTTGGATTGATGTGAGTTTCTGACCCTGGGTTTCACGCTTTTGCGATCGTCAGACAAAATGATAGAAAATTTAAAGGTATATATATATATATATATATATATATATATATATATATATATATAGTCTTTCCGGCTAAAAGCAATCGTCAGGCCTGATGACTGCTTTAAGCATGAAACAGATTGTTGCCTCTGAGTGTTGACTTCAATGTCTAGTTTTACACACACACACACACACACACACACACACACACACACACACATATATATATATATATATATATATATATATATATATATATATATATATATATATATATACAGTTCGGTTGGAGTTTGAAGAGGACCGACCATGTTCTAATCAAAAAAAATAATTTTGCCGATGACTTTTTCAGCTCCTTCGGCAATCATATATATATATATATATATATATATATATATATATATATATATTATATATATATATATATATTATGTATGAAGTCTGAAATCATTTGATCTTCTCTTCGCGAAGATTAAAGGTATTGATTTACTTTCCCATATCAAGTCTTTCTTGGATATAATCGTATATTCAGGTAACAAAACAAACATTTTTTTATTTATTAAAAAGGAATTTGTGATATAAAAAGAAATGAAACGCCGTCGTTAAGAATTAGCTGAAAAGAAGTAATATGAGTAAAATAGATAGATAATAAGAAACGAAGAAAGAGAGAGAAAGAACACAGAGAGAAAACGAGAAAGAGAGAGAGAGAGAGAGAGACATGTGACTTTTGCTATTTGGTCCATTAGTTTCATTGATGCACTTTCTAAAGAGGGCATTTGGCAAATGAAAAAAGGAAGAAAGAAAAAATGTCTAATGGAGATTTTGATTAATTTCGTGTCTTTTTTTATGAAAATATTTTCGCATTTGTTTATCCACAAAAAGCTGAACGGGTTGCAAGATTTTAGAAATTACAGAAAAACCGATACACACAAAAAAAAAAGGCTACATGCACACGTCACACATCAATACGCATATACAGTGATGTTGTCTGTTTTTCTGAACATCGTATATGTATATATATAGATCCATTTTAAATACATCTACAAAGGCAATACTATGTGCACAATTGTACACACACACACGCTGTCACACAGGAACGCTTTTTCTGTGTATCATGTACCTTCAGGACGTACGCGATCATGGTTATCCACAACTTCCTTTCTGTTTTCATTTTCAGCAATATTTGTTCCTTTACTGTTTTTTTTCTTTATAATGCTTCCTACTTCTGTCGCATGTATTTCATCTCAGATCATTCCAGAATATACTTGGCACTCAGTATGACGCCAGAGAAGTATTGAAAGATTGGACTGAAAGGTGACCTCCTGGCCATCCACTGCAGATCTGCACCACACAGCATGTCAGTGGCTGCATCGACATGTAAAACGTATGACTGAGATAAATATATAAACATCGAGCCCAGTGAAGAAAGGGGACAGTCTCTCTCAGACATCATACATGAAAATATAAGGTCCAAGTTCGGATGAGGTCTAGGGGGTCGCACACACAAATTACCCGACAGTCCAGAGTTGACTAAAATGTATGAGAGATTCAGTTGTATGTTTCCATTTGTAATGCAGAACAATAAAACTTCGTTAAATTCCATCCAATAGTTCAGAATTGTCTGGCAGGTTTCTCATTGTTTTTCTCTGCTTCTCATGCCTTCGATTTGTCTTGTGAGTATTGATTCTCCAAGTCTTCTTTTCTCATTATGCATCTCCCAAATTTCAGCTTTTTGGTTGTTAGAAACAACTTCTCCTCTTAAATTACGGCATCAAGAAACAAATTTATCGACACATGTTACAGATTTTATCTATTCATGTCTAGGTTGACTTTATAGGGAACAAATTTTGATGCTAACTACTGCCTAGGAGAGTTATTTGTTCTCACTCATCAATTGGATTCTTTGACGGGCATCGTGGCATGTCATTGAATGCCAGTGCTTAGATATTCGACCAAAATATGTGGCGACTTGACAGACCACAGGATAAACGGTATTCATGCCTTTTCCAAGAGTATTAGTGTGAAGAGAAATTCTAACTTGGTTTATTGCTCTGTGGACCTATATGAACTTTGTAGGTTTTTTGACTTGTCTCACTAAATATATGTACACATACGTTTGTATACATATATTCCATTCGATGTTGGGTACCTCGGTGTAATGGTTAGAAAGCTTGTCTTGCTAGATCAATTATGACTGAGTAGTGAGTTCGATCCTCACTGGGTTCCCCATACTTTTGGCCTTGTGCCACATCTAAGCCGGGCTTAGAAAATCACTATATCCCATTCGATACGCTAGCATATATACCGGGAGATGTATATGTGAGTAAGGGAGTTCTTGCCCTTGCTTTCTTCCGAAAATCTGACCAAATGAGCAAACGTTGGAATTTGTATGGAATTAATTTTTGGTTTGGCCGAAAATAAATTGTCTGTATACATATATTGACAAAAATACATTGCATCTATTTAACCAAGATGAAACGTACGAGTATTTATTATAACGCTACTATAATATGCCTATTGGTATAACAAACGCACTTATCAGGTCTGACGATCGCTTTTATCCGGAAACAGATTATATATACCTTTAAACTATATTTTCTATCATATATATATATATATATATATATATATATATATATATATATATAATAAAAATATAGTTTGAAGACATGCTTTATTCATAGCTTATAGTGCTCAATATCAGGTATACGGATTCTCTAATCGTAATGCTACGGGTACCTGCCATGACGCCTGTATTAGTTAAAGACTGCCTTAAAACGCCTCAGTAGAGTTACCCATGCCTCGCCATTTAGACGGGATGCGACACAAGGTCAGATAAACTCGGGCCACTGGTACAAATTTACCTATTCCCTGCAAACACGGGGAGCGAGCACTTTGTTCTCGGCTGGGTCTCTATCCGTAGACAGAGCCTCGACTGAGTGACCCTCTGTCAGAAGACAGAGGTCTTGTCAGTCGCAAGCCAGACAGCAAACTGTCTGACTTGAAACGACTAGGTATTTACCCAGTCCCTCTACTGGCATGAAATGTAACACAAGATCGGGATTATTGTGGGGAATCCGAGCGTGTCCACTCGGCCCAATGGTCAAAAATTACCTAGACCCCGCAGAAGCGAGAACGAGTACAATATTTTTCCTGTTTTTCTCAGCCAAATTTTTGTTCGTAGACAGAGCCTCGAATAAATCTCCCTCTGTCTTAACTCTGACCTGGAGCTCTTTATAATAATGGACTTGTTCAGATAGTCACTGGGGTGTACCATTTTCTCCCCTTTTAAGATTTATACTTTTATAAAATACTTTATTTTTTAATTTCGTATGAGTATCTACTCCTCTTTCCAGAAAGTTCTCCAACGTACTTGACTTTGTAGCGTTTTCATCTCGGATCTATTTCCAGTTTTTCAGTACACTTTCTTTTACTAGAACTTTTTCTTGTAGGTTCCACGGATTGTTGTGGTGATGGCACATCGAAAACATCATAGAGCATTTTTATTGGTTCTTCCAATATTTCAGGTCTTTCATCACTGAACGTTTTGGTTCAGCTGATTATGGTGCCTTTTATGTTTAAATCTTTTCCCTTTCACTGTGTAAATCATCTTCCCGATTCTTGCTGATATTATGCCGTATTCCCACGTTTGCCAAACTTATATGCTCGAAAGAACACTTTATCGCTGATATTGGAACGTTTGCTGTCGCTTTTGTTAATCATTCGCGTTTTTCCACTTGGTAATAACTTGTCGAATAATGATTTTGCTCTTCTGGTAAACATTAATTCCGCCGGCCACATAACTGATTGTATATTGGGGTTAGGTATTACCCGGTAAACTGTCAGAAAATCTTGAAGTGTTTCCTTATTTACTTTCTCAACACTTGCTTTCTTCAAAGTTCCTTTGAACGTTCCTAAACTAGCTTGTTTGTTAGAACTTGTTCAATGGAGAACATCTTATAAAAGTCTTGGAATTCTTTACGTGTCGATTGCATTCCATTATCCGACACTATGGTATATGGTATGTCATATCTCGCAAACAGTTCATGCAAGAAATTTACTGTCACTGAGGATGTTGGATTTTAAGTGAAACTATAAACTACCACAAGATAATATGATCCATATGACTGTTTCTGTTGTTGTTGTTGAATTTCTAATATGGATGCCAAAATTTTCGCCATATTCGCAAGAATATGTTTTTTTTAATCAACGTGGCTGAAATTATGGAACTCCAATTACAAATCGTATGAGTTTCCAGAATCATCGATACAACGGTTATTAATCGTAAGAGTTCCGTATTCTTCGTCACAACGGTTATAAATCCTAAATTCCGTATGCCTCGTCGCCACTATTCTATGGCTATTGGTATAACACACTCTTACTTATACAACACATTTCGTAAAATGATTCTGTATATATAATGCTTCGGCTACTTGCCATAACGCCTGTATTAGTTCGTCTGAAGACTGTATATTTACTATCCATAAAATGAACAATTGTGACACAATGCCGAAGGGGATGTAGGATAGGGCTTGTCATCAATAACTATCCCAGACTCACGATTTATTCATTCCCTCATTCACCACAAAAACTCATCCATCACCATTAAATCCTACATGTACCACAATACCACCTATTCACAGGGAACATGCAAAAAAACCATGATGTAAAAATCTCACAGTTCATAAATATTTCTTTTTTTGCAAAAAATACAAAAAGATACAAATTAAAACATAACATATGTTAGTAGCGTCCACCCCCTCAAAAATAATAAGAGCGGCCGTTGTATTCTGTCTATAGACAGAATCAAGAAGCACACTCACTAATGGAAGAGGAGGGAAAATTAAATGGCAGAGTGGGAAAATCGAAGACTGGCCCACTCAAGATAAAAAAAGGCACAAGAACAAACTGAAGAGGCTGGAAATCTCAACATGGATCATAACAAAAGAGAAGGCCGGGAACAACACACATTACTCACATTAACTAGGTAAACAAATAGTGTCCAACTTAACCAGGGGAGGGTTCATAGGAAAGGGACTTAAAAAGAAGAAAATCAAGGCTAATCCCGTTAACATGAACCAGGCTCGCCATAGGTACCCACCTTTCGCTTAAATATGTCGATAACAAACGCTTTTTATCAGTTCTGATCTTCATCTTGAGCTGATGCCCCCAAAATCTGATCAGATCTGATGCGAATAACGTTCGTATCCCAAAATTTCCTCCATCTGTGACGTCCACACCACCATTCTTGCCACAGCTAGCAACGCGAGAAGAACTATACGTTTTACTTCAGAGTACGGGGAGACACATTATCTCGTATTCGAAATCAGTGGACACGAGCTGCTTGAGATTGATACGATCTCAACTCAACTGGCCGACATAGTCCTAGAACGGGCGCACCTGAGGACAATGGTAAAAGGCGTGCGAAGTCGTCTCCTCTAAACCAAGGTCAAAACGATGATAGCACCATCTGAAGAAATAGCACGTTACGGAACAATCGCCAGGTAAGCGAAAACTCAGTGTTGCTGAGATAATCCGCCGCTGGCGCCCAAGACCAGAAAGAGCGAATCTCTGATGGCGACGAGTCGAGGCGGCCACTTAGAGGGTCCTTCGCGACCCCCTCAACGAACTCACGATACAATGGTCTACTGGGCATAAGAATGACCCTCAAGGCCGCCCCACACTCGGAGGAAATTCGATTGATTCCGGTGCTTAGGACAGGGCTCAGCCCCCAAATTGGAGAAATGATGGTAAGGCTAGGGAAGGCGTCCCTTACACTCCCCTAAAAAATCGAGTCCTCTGTCAAAGTGCGGCGTAGGAAAGCCAACCTTGAAGCGCGTCGATGGCACAAGTGCGGCATTCACCAGCCCGATGACCTCCCTGCAGACCTTATGCTTGCGACTACCCCACTGTAAGTGATCTGGGATTGCAAAGGAAATATTTGTCGCAGATTACTTCCACAACGCAGAGAATAAATCACAGTAAGTTCAGACTCGAACATCGGGGGCAGAAAGAAATGCCGAAAACTCGTTTCGCAGGTATTATCTCACAAATCCCAATGCACGTAACCAGTCAGAAAAATAACTCACTATCCAACAAACGCGGTAGTCAAAATACACGAATCGTCTCTCCGATTCGAGAAACCAATTGCTTTAATCGGCCGAGCATTTTTTCTATTCATCGACAGATGGGAGAGGACGCTCAATTTTTGCATATCAAAATACTTTTACAGCGACTCCTTCGACGGACTTGTTTTTTAATTTAAATATTCCGTCTTCCGCATGTCATGCGGAATACGTGCCCTTTTTTTGGGGGGGGGTAAGTAATTTTCTTTTTCACCACATTTTCCGTCGTAGGATACGTGCGACGCGCTGTCGCTTGGTTTGACGAGGTAAGTCGCCGTTTTCTTCGCAGTACCCACAAGAGGATGGACAACAAACCTTCGAGCGCCTTCATTCGGTCCTTACAGAGAGAGGAAGTACAGACATTCGATAAAGGATCAGTACAAAGACGTAAGTGGTACACGCCTCAGTTCTACACTTTACAAACAACCGCTGTCGAAGCCAAGTTTGGACCGCCCTTCCGACTTTTGACTGGTATTACGGACCAGTTCTTCTTCAGCTGGAGATCTGGTCCGAACCATATTATGAGAATGCAGACCAGCCGGTGTGTCCAACTAAAAGGCCCCGGAAACGCACCTTACTGCAAGCCGGAAGACTTGTTATGGTTAATTTTGCCCCCGTGACCTTTTCGTACTGCTCAAGAGCCTTCTGTATCACCTCAATGTCGCTGCGGCACGACGCGAAAATGGATACGTCATCGGCGTACGCAGAAACTCTGACTTGGGTGTAACTTCAGGGACGGCGATTCCACGAAGGGATGGATTGCACGCCCTATCGCTTACTTTCCTCAACGATGAGGATCGTCTGCTCTCGACACGTCAAAATACCTGTAAAAACACTTACGGGACATTGTCACCTGCTGGATTATAACCCCGGTGGCAATGCCTGTTTTATGCATTACTGTCTCAACTACCTCCCCCTGTCCATATTCTGTGAAGAAGGCTCGTGCAAGGTCCTGCTCTACAACCATAAGCACCCCATGTAAAGTGATCTTAGTCTTTTGGGTACCCATATACTCAGTTTGCATCCTCACCAATGTGGGGGTGGGGATGCTTCCTTCTAGTGTTTTTACATGCTCTTCTGATGTCAACAAGATGTCCCACATTGCGTTTCACCTCCTTACCAACTTCACTATAGAGTTGCTTAAGGAAGAAAGTCAAACAAAATAACACAAAAATACAAGTTAAAAAATAAATACAAAAAAGAATTAAACTAAAGAATAACAAATGGGTTTACAGAAAAAAAAAAAAAAAAAAATTCAAAAATTTAGCAAAGTTGACACAAAAAAGCAAGAATAAGAAATACCTACGCTGAAAGTGCACACAATCATTCTCTACAGTAGACTACACCTGTCCAAGCCAAACTCAGTCATGTATAGACAGAATTGTCCCCAGAGTTAGTCTGAATACTGACTGTCAAAGCCTTTTGGAGTTAGTTAAATTTAACCTTTTTTTTATAGTAATGGACTAGTTCATATTGTTCTATTTACTTCAGAACAGTATTATAGCTGAATTACATTATTATCACATCTGCAGATCAATACGTGAACAGGTACCAATCAAATATACCAATCAATACGGGAACAGGTACCCATCACATATACAGAACAACACATTAAAAAATTGCAATCACACATACAAATGAATACAAAGGTTCCAGTTATACATACAGATGAATACGTGAAATGTTCCAATCACATATATATGTCAATAAGTGAACAGGTTCCAGTCACATATACAGATCAATATATGAACAGTTTCCTATCATATATACAGATCAGGACGTGAACAGATCCCAATCACATATACAGATCAATACGTGAACTGGTTCCAATCACATATATAGTTAAATGCGTGAATTCTTTCCAGGTTGTATACAGATTAATACGTGTACAAGCTCAATCACATATACAGGTTCATATTTTAATAGGTTTCAATGGCATATACAGATGAACACGTTAATTTTTCCAATCAAATATACATTTCAATACGTGCAATGGAACCAATCAAATGTACAGATCAAAACGTGATAGGTTCCAATCACATATACAGATCAATACGTAAACAGGTTCTAATCACATATACAGATCAACATGTGAACTGAAAATTTTCTAATTAACGATACTCATCAAATGTAAACCGTTTATAATCACATATACAGATCAATATGTGAACAGGCTCCAATCACATATACAGATCAATACGTGAACGGGCTCCAATCACATATACAGATCAATAGATGAACAGGTTCCAATCACATATACAGATCAATAGATTAACAGGTTCCAATCACATATACAGATCAATACGTCAACAGGTTCCAATCACATATACAGATCAATACGTGAATATGTCCCCATTACATATACAGATCAATAGAAATCAATACGTGAATATATTTCAATCAAATATTCCGATCAATACACGCACTAGTTCCAATCACGTATACAGATCACTACGTGAAAAGGTTCCAATCACATATACAGATCGATACTTTAACAGATTCCAATCACATATACAAATCAATACGTGAAAATCTTCCACTGAAATATACAGATCAAAACGTGTACTGGTTACAATCACCTATACGGATCAATACGTGAAAAAGACCCAGTCAAATATACAGATTAATACGTGAACTGTTTCCAATCACATATACAGATCAATACGTGAAAATATTCCATTCAAATATACCAATTATTATGTGCACAGGTTTCAATCATATACATATATATAATCCATACGTGAAAGGGTTCTGATCAAATATACAGATCGATACGTGCACATTTTCCAGTCACATATCCAAATCAATACGCGAACTTTTCCAAATCAAATATACAGATCAGTACGTGATCAGATTCCAACTGCATATACAGATCAATACGCGCACATTTTTCCAATCACATGTACATGCACTAGTTCCAATCGCATTTACAGATCAATAAGTGAAAACGTTCCAGTCACATATACAGATCAATGTGTGAAAAGGTTATATTTACATACAGATAAATACGTGAACTGGTTACGAAATAAAAATTAGATCAGTAGTGTTCAAACCTCAAATGAACTTGTGTCATGTTCTTTTTGAACTTCGTGGGCAGGCACTACAGAGTCTTTGAAAGAACTTTGCCAAATAACAGAAATCACATTACTTGAAGACTTTCAACAGTAGCAACAAGTAAAATGCATAGCAAATGCACCTCGAAGAGAAACTAATGACATAATCAAAATATTGATGTTCCACACTACTTTAAACAAAACGTTAGGAAGGAAACTCCCATTCATCCACACTGGAATAAGTGGTTACAGCTAGTGTATTTGAGAAACCTATTTTCCTGAAAAATTGTTTTTAATAAATTTTATAAATTTCAACCGAATGCAGCACTGGCTGTTCGGTCAGTGAATACCAAATGTTTCCGCACCAGAAAACGGTTAATATTACCATTACTATTACCATACCATTACCATTACCATACCATTACATTATAAATATACTGTATAGTCTCTTTGGTCATTAACACAGGCCTTTACTTTTGTCTGCCTATAATTTTACAGGGGATGCATACCATCCTGCACTGCATTATTACACGTCTCTTGCATCTGTTGACCCAACACGACAGTAGAGTTTTAATAGATTGATTGGACGAATCGGGTGTTGTTCCAAACAGTAGGAGACAGGTCTAGCGATCTAGGGCACGTTGAGCAGTACGGGGATCATGAGGGTGGGCATTATCCTCCTGGCATAGCACATCATCTTCCTCCTTTGAGAACAGAGAGAGAGAGAGAGAGAGAGAGAGAGAGAGAGAGAGAGAGAGAGAGAGATGATGATGATGATGATGATGATGATGTATAGTCGTACTGTATTTTCTCTACAGCCTTTATTCAAACGGCGGCAAGCGTTCAGCGTCGTGCGTTTTTTCTTGCTTCCTCCCAGTCCGACAATTTCCATGAGAAGCCAAAAATACAAGACAGTGAATACGAACAAAAAGAAACATAAAATCACATAAAGCTTTTAGAATCTGGATATTGCTTTTATTGAATTCTATAGAAAACTAAATCTGAAAAAAATGACGAGCAAAAACAACCGATCAAACCACATTGAGAAATATTTTCAAAGTTTATTATTTTTTACTTTAATTATACTTTTGTCGGTATTTTTAAAATATTTCATATCGAATTTCTTTTCCCAGTCGTAATTTTAATTTTTTTAATGTTCCAGATGCATTTATTTTAATTGAAGTATATTTATCAAACATCAGAAAGTGAAAAAAATAACCTATCTTTGCAGTTCATTCCTAAGCCTAAAATCCAGATTTTGTGCAGTGGATTACGTGATATTTACAAACGTATGTATCCTTCTAATCGTCCATATATATATATATATATATATATATATATATATATATATCTGTGTGTGTGTGTGTGTGCAAATATATAGTAAAATAGGAAAGAACACGTTAGGTATGGATAGATGAACCGGTTAGCCGATAGAAAAAAGGCCGTAGATCCTCGTCTTTTTATTTTTCCATTTAAGTTCCATTTTCTTTCGTCTTTGTAGTTTTGGCTTTCGTATTTCCAAGCTAAATATTTAAAAACTTAATTCACTCACTCTGAAAAAATTCTGAAACATTTTCTTTCTGTATTTCTTTCTTTCTTTTTTCTTTCTTTCTTTTTTGTTACCATCACTATTACTTACTTATATTATGTATCTAAGCTTCCATAGTTTAGAAAGAAGGACAGAGATTGAAATGGAAAAATATTACTTGGCCAGAAAGTACTGACTCACTTAGGAAACAAAAAAACTTTATTGAGCAACACCAGCATTTATTCTTCAAAATAAAGTCCATCATTCTTAACCAGTCCGCTGCCTTTGAATAATAAGACAAAAACAAAACAAAAAACAAACAAAAAAAAACAAAAAACAAAAACAAAAAAAACAAAACAAAAAAAACAAAAAACAAAAAACAAACTTTAAACAACCTTCCTTCACTTTTCTTGATTTTGGTTTCTTGAATCGCTGGTCGCAGACGAAGTGTGCCATTGAGTGGAAGAAGCCAGAGTCACCAGCATCGAGACTGAATGATGGATGTGGAAGAATCTCAACACCGTCCATCTGTTTGAACTTCTCCTAAGTCAACGTGATAGTGTTGTGGCCTGGCATTGTCTTGCTGAAACAAATCCCGACATCGATTAAACAAAGCAGAATATTCCTTCTTTAGTTTGTCGTACATGCGGATTAGCTGCTGGCAATACAGTTTACCGTTGATGGAACAAACTCAAAATGCAGTACTCTTTGGAAATTCCACCAGACAGAGGTTAAGATTTGTTGTTTTCTTTCCACTTCTTAAGTGAGACAAAACTTTCTGGCCAAAAGAGTATATATGGGAGAATGGCACTTAATATATGGAAGAGAGCGTTTGTGATATATAAACAGTGAAAACAGAAATCGACATTGGATGGCAACTTCAATCCTTAAAAGGATCATCATACATTGGGATGGTCGCTTAAGGTGTAAAAGTAACGGTCACCATTCAATGTTAAGTTCTATGCCTACACTATCTCTCTCTATTTCTTTCTGTCTACTTCTTTCTTTCTTTCTCTCTCTCTATATATATATTTTCCACATTTTTGCTACATGGGCTTCCGGTTTCGCGACCTTCATCAGGCAAAGAGTGGTTGTTTCCACATATTATTAAAAGGAATTAATTATCCTCATCTTTTCCGATGTTTAACCATTGTCGTTTGGGGGTAGTATCAATGCAAATTTTTCTTCTTGGAATTGTGGAGAAAATGTTCTTCTGCTTAAGGAGTAAGCCACGAGACCGAAGCACGTGTAGCAAAAATATGGAAATAAAGTATAATATATATTTAAAAATCTACATTATAACCAAAAAAGTTTGCGGCTTCTCTCTTCTCTTTCATATACAGAGGAACCTCGGTTCTCGAACGTCTCACATGTCGAACAAATCGGTTTTCAAACAGAAAATTCGAGATGAAAATGCCTCGGTTATCGAACAAAATTTTGGGTCTCGAACAACATAACCAAACCAAGTTAACCCGAATAGAATTATTTCTGAGTCGACTGCCTTGTTGTATCCATTCGTGTGTTGTGCTGTACTTTTCTTTTCCAATGTAACTTTTTTTTTCTCTACATTGATTTCTACTGGAAAAATAGTTTCGGTTTACGAACATTTCGGGTTACGAACGGCCTTTAGGAACGAATTAAATTCGTGAACCGAGGTTCCACAATATACACTTTTCTCTCGTTGGAACAACTATAACCTCTCCTATATATATATATATATATATATATATATATATATATATATATATATATATATATAAAAGGCTCAAACTATTCTTACTCTGTACTGACATTGAGTTCTACCTGGATTCTATCCTCTTGGGAATTTATATATATATATATATATATGTACGTATTGGCCACTAATATTTTCAATATATATATATATGTGTGTGTGTGTGTGTGTGTGTGTGTGAAAAGTGTATATAAATATAAATAAATATATATATGTATAATTATTTATATATAATATGCGCGGTACTTATTAGAAAACATTCAATATCAGAGATAGAGCTAACATATATATATATATGGATAGATAGATTATATGCTTGTACGATAACTAGACAGAAAGTGCGTGTATATGGAAAAGAGCGAGTGAGATAGTAAGTGTGTGCGTGTGTGTGTGTGTGTGTGTGAGAGAGAGAGAGAGAGAGAGAGAGAGAGAGAGGATGGCTGGCTGGCTGGCTGGCTGTTCATTACAAGACCCAAAGTTCAATCTTCCGGTATCGCCCCCACGTAATTTTGCATAAAATTAAATTTCTTTTCTTTCCTTTCCGATCTCGATTTCATTGTAGAGAGAAGCTGATTAAAATAATCCTCTCTTCTCTCGCTTCATCTCCCACCGCGAATAAACTTGTTCGATTGCGGGTTTTCATTCAAGTGGAATATTTCTTGATAAGCGACCAAATCAGAGAATCAACGCCCCACGTGATTCTCGAAACTAAATTGGCAGGAACAAAACTTCTGTCGAAAAGAGACCATCGGATTATGAAGAAGATTTAGGAAGATTTTCAGATCGGAGAACACATATTTCTATATAATTTACAAAGTCTCCATCATAAATAACAAACGCTTTATTTTTTTCTCAAAAGTATTAAAGCATAGAAACAAAAGGCGGGGAAATCTGAGACAGATGGTCAGAGAGACAAATATGAATATACTGACATAGATAGATAGATAGCTAGAAAGATAGATAGATAGATAGATAGATGTAAACAGATTGAGATAGATAGTCAAGAACAGACTGATGTAGCTAGACATGAAATAAATAGATAAACATGAACAGACTAATACATAAATAGATAGACAGATAGATAAAGAACATAGATAGATAGATAATGAACAGACATAGATAGATAGATAGATAGATAGATAGATATGAACAGTGGTTGATCGATAAATAGAGATGAACAGATTGAGATTGATAGACTTGAACAGACTGAGATAGATAGATAGACAGGCAGACATGCATAGAATGGCATGGACAGCTAAAAAGATAGATAAACATAAACAGACTGTCACACACACACACACACACACACACACACACACACATATATATATATATATATATATATATATATATAGATAGATAGATAGATGGATATGTCCTGACATAGATAAAAATCGCAAAATGCAATAAAAGGAAAAGATTTTTAATTCAGCTTTATTTTATAAAGAGAAAATTATGACTAACGACCATCAATAAATTTAAACATCTCTACGTAATTCTGCACCTTATTTGTCTATCTGTACACATAGAAAGAAACGCACACACAGATACGCACGCAATATTATATGTATATGGTGTTTATCCAAGTGTTTGTCGAGTCTGAACAATGTGAATGTAGTACGGACTTTTATGCTATCTTTTCTGAGCAGTACCCCTTGAGATTGCAGAAGTACCTAAGGAAACTACTTCGAAGGAACACGGATATTAGGTACTGGGGTAAGTAATTATTTCATTGTTCAATTCCAAGAAGTTTTGGTTTGAACACCATATATATATATTTTTATTTCAAACAGGTTTTAATGAACAATATTGACATGGGTTATCTATACAAGTTTTTCTTTAGTTTTTCATACTTTAGACTAAAAACGAAAAAAATAAGCACATATACATTTAGTTTGACCATTGAAAAATTCCAGCAAGTTAAAAAAAAACTCTGGGATTTACCAAACACATTTTGATATACAGACTAATTAAGAAAAAAACTTCTGACTTAACGACTGTCGTAAAATCGAAATCGAACGCAAAAACACTAATGTTTGGAATGTTTTTTTGGTCGGAAGTTGGAAAACGTAAATAAAATGTTGGCTAGACAGACATTGTAGGCATTGTTTGAAAGAATTGTTGCAGACTAAATACACTTTATATATATATATATATATATATATATATATATATATATATATATATATATATATATATATATATATATATCTATTATCTATCTCCACATATACGGATTTACATATAAACATCTCTATGTGGAAAGAGTGCATCACTATATCCAACTCGGAGGCAATTCGGTATGAAACCCTGTGTTATACAATCAATGTAAGATATTACATATATTTCTTAATATATATTAAATAGCTCTCTTAGTTAACATTGGGAACAGTTTTTTTTCTTACACTATACAGTATTTATATGTATTTATATACGACCTCTCGCTTGTATTTTTACCTATTTGGTTATATATATATATATATATATATATATATATATATATATATATATATATATATATATATATATATATATATATATATATATATTCAAGTAAATAATTAAATCCATAGTCTAATTATAAAATATTATTTCGCACGATCAATATTTATATTTTGACAATATTGTTTGTTAATGGAATTTACTCAGTGCATTTCAATTCCTCTCATAGAATTATTATACATTGAACATATCAGATTTTACTCAAACGTATCTACACACATACACACCCACACAAAGACACCCACAAATACCCCCCCACACAGCCACACATATACAAAACATACAAATACATACACATACACGCCCCCAAACTATATGAATAGGGTATATTTAGGAAGAACTGACAAATTTATTATTCAAAAGAACCGACGAAGTCTGTCAACTTTATTTTAAAAAAAACGCCCCCCCCCAAAAAAAAACATCGGGTATATATACAGTATTAACATAGGACTTAACACAACATGGTGACTGTCAGAGGGTTCTACATATAAGTCAATGAGGATTAAACTAAATATATATACAAAATCATCCCAGAAATTATGGTGCATTAATATAATATTTGAATAAAGTCGGTTTTGATGGCATCGCTAAAGTCGTGTTTCATCGAACACCGAATACTAGTGTTAACGTATGCAGTGGAATTTCTACTTGATTCGTTCATATTTGCAGAATTTGTTATATAATTCGTCTAACATGGAATTAGCGAAATCTTCCAATCACAGAAGAGCCCGAGAACGAGAACGAGAGCGAGGCTGAGGGAGAGATAACGGTAAAATCATTAACTAAAATCATTTCCGATAGAAAACTTTCTCAAGGTCGGTTGTGTCTAAAATTTTGCTTCTTTTTTCTTTTTAAGAGAAGGAAAAGGCATCCGGTTAGCAATATGGAATTATGTCGTTTTTTTTTTTGTTTTTTTTATGTTTTGACTTTTTTCTTCAATTTTGAACTCAAAGAAGAATTCCTCTTGCTCAGTAAGGGAAAAAACAAAAAAACAAAAAAGAAAAGAAAAAAAAAACAAAAAAAAAAACAAGAAAAAACAAAACGAAAACGAGAAAATCGTGTTGGCACGTACATTGGAACTTGCTCGCTGAACGAGATGAGTAGTTTTAAAGACATCTGGGTTAAATATAACTTCGTCTAATGAGTACGCAACTCACTCAGTCGTACCAGAGTTTCAAATGATACTTTTGCAATCATCATCATCATCATCATCATCATCAACATCATCATCAACATCATCATCATCATCATCATCATCATCATCATCAATAAAACGATGACATCACACCGGCTTCTTCAGCATAATTTTCATTAAATGCTTTCTTCATTATTGTCAACATCATTGCCAAAATCCAGGGACGATAACGAACATAACAAAACTCAAAATGCTTTATTAAGTTGATGCTACGAGAACAACAACATCAATAATAATAATAATAATAATAATAATAATAATAATAAGAAGAAGAAGAAGAAGAAGAAGGTTTAGGGAAACAAAGAAAAAAGTATTTGAAAGGTAATTTTATTTTTACTAAAATGACGGTGACAGTCATAAGTAAAGAGGAAGGCAAACATAGATAGGATTGGATAGGAACAGTGATTTAATGGGAATTGTGCAAATGACTGGAGTTTTACCTTTGCAGATTTATTTTATGATCACTTAACAAAGATTTTTGCAGAGGTATGACAGAATGCTGAAATTAAAACGCAAGAATATAGCACATATGGAACAATTTCGAAAAACCTTCTAAAATAAGATTTTAGAAGAATTGCAATCTGAGGGTGAATTAAAACATCCAGACAGCAACATTTCTAAAATCATCTATAATACTGAGGAGAGTGCTTGTGGTGTGAGGAAGCTTTTTGCTGCTTGTTCTCCAGTGTAAGTCACAAGTTTTACTCATATTATGAAATGCCGAAAGATACAAAAATATATTAATAATATTGAGGTTGGCGAATACGGTAAGAAGTATGCTGGAGTCGTGGAGGGGCTTAATGTCTTCAGATCCCTAAAGATGACGGCCAAATAATAATCAGGTGATTTAATATAAAAACAACCTTTTACTGCAGTTATATGAGAATTAATTAAAAGCGCTGACCGGTAAGGAAGCGGACTGATTGGTATTAAAATTGTTGTCAGTTATCAGTTAACTCCTGTTACAGTGACAGGACCCAAAGAGTGTGAGTTCAATACGTGGTTAAGGCGGTGGAGAACTTGGAGAGGGGAATTAACAGGAGATAACTGACATCCCTTAGACATGGCACGTGGAACTAGAACAGTCTACCTCAGTGAGCAAAATAAAGAGTTTAGTTCGACATTCCAACCACCTGAAGAAGGCCGAAACGTTGTAATAAATATGGCGACAAAGATGAGGACAATAGTCCGAATAATGAAAATAATGAAGAGAATAATTATGCCCACAAATGTGACGCAAGCAAAATCAATCTTACTACTACTACTACTAATACTAGTACTACTACTACTACTACTACTAATAATAATAATAATAATAAAATTGTTCAGCTATAACAATTTTATAAGCTGTAAAAATCCCTGATTTAAAATCCTACAATACCAAACGGCTCTAATACAGATATAGATAAAACAAATAAACACGCAGGCAGATAGACACTTTCCTAGGCCGGAGGTAATAAGCTAGGGTAATTAATTTGGTTTATGATACCCACATATCCTCTGAGAATGCAAGCCATTTTTCCAACACAGAGTTTGGCCTTTCTTTAATTTTAAACTGAAAAAAAAAATACAAAAAACAAAACAAAGAGAGCATACTCTTCTCTGGAGAAACGAGTCTTTAATAAAATTTTCCACTTTGTCACATCGTCTTTAAATGAGGGATTTTTTATAGTTTATATATAAAATTGTTTTATCTGAACAATTTTATCATTGAAGTTGTCAAAATGTGAGACATTATTGCCCCTCAGTCATCAGTGGAGCGTTCGGGCCACTATTGCCCTCTCAGTTATTTGTGAGGCGTTCGGGTCTAGACCACCGAACTTAAAGTTTTACATTGAGAAAAATCAGAATAAAGTCCGGTATTCCATCGCTTCAGGAGTTTACGTTGCTTGATACTGCACATACGCAAAAGGTATTGTTTGTCTCAGATTGCCCAACATGATGGTGAACAACCCATAATGCAACATCTCTAACCGCATGGTAGAAGAGAATACAATGATAATAATAATAATAATAATTAGTATTACTCGTGAAAATTTCACTGTTTTCCTATTTGAATTTTCTGGTGAATCTTAATTCTTTAGTTAATGATTGAATAAACTGATAGCGAATTCGATAAAACACACATGGACATTCCCTTTTTGTCTCGTGAATATCTGAGTTTAACAACTTTAACAAAATATTACAATAACAAACATACGTATGAATGCAGGTCATTATTTAAAGAAGTAAGAGGGTACAGATAAAAAGATTTAAATTGACAAGTTTTCCATTTCACTGAAACAGGCGTTAAACGCGCAAAAGCGTTATTGTCTTTTGTATTTTCCTTTTCTTTCTTTCTTTCTTTCTTTCTTTCTTTCTTTCTTTCTTTCTTTCTTTCTTTCAGCGTTTCTGATATTTTTCTGTTTTTCCTCGCGATCAAAACGGTATAGTCCATTTTTGTATATATTGGCAAGACGTAACGTTCGTGCTACCGTTAACGAAGATACTGAGAAATGATCTGGATATTTGAGCGTACTTGTTATTACCCAATACTCA